GGCTCAGGCTTTGTTGTCTTTGTCGTCGCCAGCCCTCGCCTCCCACTATCACAGCGGTCGGCTCAGGCTTTGTCGTCTTTGTCGTCGCCAGCCCTCGCCTCCCACTATCACAGCGGTCGGCTCAGGCTTTGTTGTCTTTGTCGTCGCCAGCCCTCGCCTCCCACTGTCACAGCGGTCGGCTCAGGCTTTGTTGTCTTTGTCGTCGCCAGCCCTCGCCTTCCACTATCACAGCGGTCGGCTCAGGCTTTGTTGTCTTTGTCGTCGCCAGGCGGTCGGCTCAGGCCTTGTCGTCTTTGTCATCGCCAGCCCTCGCCTCCCAACCTATTGACATAAGATGTCTGGGCACGCAGGCCAACAACATGCACGAAATGAAGTCCTGCAAGCAGCCACAGGGACCCGAAAATGAGGTTATGGATGGAGAACTGATGAAAATAAAGATGTGAAGCCAGATGTCATTTCACCGTATCTGACCCCTATCAAATAAACAGGGAGGCTCAACAACTTGGAAAACATGGGGTAAGGCTGCAGTGCGCAAGATCCGCAGTGCAAGGCATGAGGCGACTCATACATTACAACGTCAAACACCATGCTGATGACTGCCAGGCTGACAGCAGCTGCCACTGCTGCATGCATTGCATCTGCTTGAACTTTAGCCTCACCACTACAATAAGAATAAAACAAGCACCATGCCAGAAGCGCTTAACCCCTATACCCAAAGCCCTGTAGACCCTGGACTATGCTCTACACCGAGGTCGTTGCCCATTCCGGCTTGTGCGTGATACCCGTGGAAGGATGCAGAGCCACAACTTGGTTGTCTCTGACCTCACAGCCAGTGTGACACATGTCTCACAAGAAGGCCCCTGCACGGGCTCATGGTCTAAAACTCTACTCCTGTTGGAGCCTCTCCATGTGTAAGGCCTTAGTTGCCCTACATGACTAGTCACAGTTGCATGCAAGGCACAGTCAAGTAGTGGTTACTCTTCTCAAGGTGGGCAACCTGCATGAAGTAGCCAGCAACCAAGCAACGTCCTGAGCTTTCCAAAGTGAAAATGCTTCACTTGCTTGCAGTTGGCAAAATCAGAGGACCACTCAGCCCATTCCTGTCAGATGCCTTTGACATGGACTCCCGCACCCTAGACCTCCGGCATGATGACACAGACAAGCGGCGGATGTTGGGATAGTACTCCTTCAAGACGCATGTGCGTGTGACAGAACCATGACCATGCAATGTCCGCAACAGAATGAAGCACAAGCTTCAACATTCAGAAAGGACGCAGAAACTTGCACCACATCTGCAATGCGCCCCTCTCCTTGTCTCGGAAATCCGTGCTGAGCATCTGCCTGACACAGTTGAACTCATAGCCACGGCCGATCAATAACGCAGACAAACCGGCAATCTCGCCGTTGCTAAAATCAGCCTAGCAGAATCTAAGACAAATGTGAAGGCCACCACGTTTAAACAGAACCCTCGAGAGACCGTGTCCTGCGCTGTTAAACATTCCAAAAACACCAACCGCTGCTCATCCATACACAAAGCGACGCATATTTCCACAAAGACCCTACACATTAACCCTGTGACAACAAGAAGCATCTTACCCTGAAAGCTCACAAACTCTCAGCTCCAGATCCTGTAATCCTGCCAAACCCAAACATCTCCATCCCTAAATCCTAAACTCCAAATCCTAAACCCCAAATCCCAGACCGTCCTGAATCTGGGACCCTCAAATACTGGGTTGCCGTTAAGGGACTTAAATTAAGTTACTATATATACCCATTATGGTAACTTAATTCAAGTTCCTTAACAGCAACCAAGAATATCCCCAACCAATGAGGGCCCGACAGATTCAGGCGCTCCATGGTGCGCTTGAGCTGCTCACGCACGTTCTCCGCAGATTTCATTGATCTGAGGGGCCAGTTATATTGGGGTTATATAGGGGCAATGGAAAAGAAAATGGAAACTACTATAGTATATTGGGGTAAAATAGGGATTATATATAGGGATAATGGAAAAGAAATTGGAAACTACTATAGTATATTGGGGTAATATGGGGGGTTATATTTAGGGATAATGGAAAAGAAAATGGAAACTACCATAATGGCTTTTATGGGTTTAGGGTTTAGGTTTCAGGGTAATGGGTTTAGGGTTAGGGCTTGGGAAAATGGATATGGGGTTCAGCGTTGGAGCCAGGGGCTTAGGGCTTGGGTAAAGAACGGTAAAGAACCGTCATGGGGATTACTGCTGGTTGTGCCAGTAATATCCAATAAGGGCGTTAAGCTGATAGCGAGAAACGCGGTGCTTGCACACTTTCCGCGTGTTGAAACAGGCTGGAGGATTATGCAGTGCATCTTCATTGGTGAGATCCTAGCCCATCAGGCCTGAACCTCAAATCTTTCTGAGATGAACGCGCTTTCAACAGGCCGCACCTTGCGTTGATGTAGTTGTCATAGCAGAACTGTGCCGGGTCTGCTCCCTCCGTGATGTACTGCTTGTACCTCATAGGTCTGACAGGCAGGTGATTCAAGGATCTGGAAGCTGGTGCGGAGCCGCTGAGGGATGGTATCTAGCACGACGGATCCCAACATAGATCGCATCGATTCCTTAAATATGTGAATCCCCAATGTGCCGTATGAGTACTACACACGAAAAGTATGACCTCCCAGATGCCGGAAACAGCAACTGTGACGCATCCGAGGTGTCCCCCACAGGAAAGAGGCTTTGTGGACTTTGCACTTCGGATTGATGGTTTGGGAACTTAAAAACAGTGAGACTTGTGGGATGGTCACAAATGCGTTTCATAGCTACTAGTACGTGCCAGTAACTGATACAACTGTCTGTCAGTGCACGGTCTTCTCAGATCCATGCCTCTTCGATGATACGCTCACCACCACGAAACTGCTGATCCAGCACAACGATAATAGAAGAAACTAAGCCCCTACCCCCAAGCACAACTATAGAAAATTGCATAAAAGTGCGGTTTGTTTCGTAAATAGAGTACTTCAGGGACTCTGAAGTTCGCAATTTAGCTGCCTCTACCCCCACCCCACATCTCCTCTCCAGGGATCTTCATTCCCGGGATTTCATAAACAAAGGGTTGCATACTCAAACTACGATGATACTCAGGTATGCCATCGACCTTCATCGCCCGCAAAAAACCCTAGTCCAGGAGGCATTCTACTTCAGTGTCATGGTCTCTGGTTCATCTCTCCCCTAGGGCGACCATTGTGACCCAGAGATGGTTCCCGTCAATACTGCTGCCATGGTTGACTCTTACTGCTGTTTCGACTACTCTTGCCAAATTACATGGAATTGCTATCACGACAGCTCCTTTAATGATCAACACTAAACTGTGGAAAGCGAGGCCCAAGTGCTCACCGAGTCGCGCATGGAAAACGTTGAGCAATGTTAAGTGGTCCCCATCCAAGTGGGTGAAGCGACCTTTGGCATCGTCTGCCTCCTTGGGCTCGAGCAAACATGTCCGAAACATGTCAAGTTACTGCGAGTGGGCGTGGTACAGCAAGTGCTTTTGGTCCAAACGCCGCACAGCTTCAGCTCACCCCACACCCAAAGCCCAAGTCTGCTGCCCAAGGCACCTTACCGAACTCCTTCGGTCTCACAAAGACGTTGGGCACCGACAGCATTGCAGAGATGGACAACATCTCGTTGCTGCATTTGAACTTGGGCCTTCGCAGCTTTAACCAACTTGGCATCTGAGAGCTGCCAGGAAGGAATGGAAAAGAAAATGGAAACTACAGGGATTATAGGGATTTTATAGGGGCTTTATAGGGATTATAAGGTGTATGCATATATATATATCCAGTATATATATATATAAGGGCTTGAGGACTCAGAAGTCAGGCAAAGCTGAGCCCTCAGCGAATCGATCAGCATCTTCGCCTGTGAATCAGCACATGAGCCGCCAGTCTGCGGAGGCCGAAAACGTTGGTTATCGTTATAGGAGTTATATAGGGGTTATACAGGGGTTATATAGAGGTTATATAGGGGTTATATAGGAGTTATATAAGGGTTATATAGGGGTTGTATAGGAGTTGTATAGGGGTTATATCGGGGTTATATAGGGGTTATATAGGGGTTATATAGGGGTTATATAGGGGTTATACAGGGGTTATACAGGGGTTATATAGGGGCTATGCAGGGATTATGTAGGGGTTATATAGGGGTTATATAGGGGTTGTATAGGAGTTATGTAAGGGCTATATAGGGGTTATATGGGGATAACGAAAAAAATGGAAACTACTATAGTATATTGGGGTTATACTGAGATAATGGAAAATGAAATGGAAACTATTGTAGAGTATATTGGGCCTATATTTGGATAAAAGAAAATGGAAACTACTACTATAGTATATTGGGCCTATATGGGGATAATGGAAAAGAAAATGGAAACTACTATATATATTATATTGGGCTATACTGGGATAATGGACAATATAATGGAAGCAACTATAATATACTATAATATACTATAACATACTATAATATACTATACTATACTATAATCTACTATAATATACTATAATGGCTTATATACGCCTTAGGATGCTTCCAAGCCACCAGCTGCGGGTCCAGAGGGAATTCCGCTGCTTGGTCCCCAGCATCTGTGAGGTCCCCGTCCTGCAAAAAGCTATACTTGGAGGGTCATGGGGACTTAGTAAGTAGGTTAATAACCCCTATTAATATAGTAACCCTAGTTATCCCCATTAATAACCTACTTACTAAGTCCCCCTGACCCTCCAAGTAGTCCCTCTTAAGCAGATATTACATGATCCGGAGGTGGCTTGGGTTTAAAGTCCCCCTTAAGTAGATATAATATGGGTATATGGGGATCTTATTATAATATATCCAAAGATTCTATCTACTTAAGGGGGACTATAAGCTAAAGGCCTTGCGGGCCGGGCTGGGGCACAGGGTAGTTTCCCAGAATTGGGATACCTTATTGGGGGTCCCCATAACCACAGAAGTGTAGAGCTGGAAGTTCTGTAGATTGAAGTTTTGCAGAAAGCTAGGGGAAACATGAACTTTCTCGTGAAGCCAAGCGGCATCATTGAGATGGTTGAGGAAGTTCAACATTTCCAGCGCACGCCTCGGGATGAACTGGGCGTGAGGCCGCTTAGAGAAGGATTCTGAAGTATAGTCCCCCTCGAGTAGATAGAATATGGCTGTGGGTATATTATGATAAGATCCCCAAATACCCCATAGAATCTCTACTTAAGGGCAACTTTAGATCTCTGCTGGATGAGGTAGCATCAATAGATGAGCTCTGGGATGCTCTCTTTGTCTAAACTCCTTGGGGGGTTATATAGGGGGCTATATAGGGGACTATAGGGGTTATTCAGGGGGATACTTGGAGTTTAGACTATGGCTCATATGAAGCTGAAGGATTTTTTGTAGCGCTTTGGCCAGGACTGGCTCTTGCAGAACTGCCCGAGATCCCTTTTCGGAGTTCCAGGAGTCTTTGTATTCCCTACGATCAAGAGCCGGTGCTAAAAGGAACCGATTCATACCCGAGGCACATCATTGTTTCCGGTGCTGGAGGATCCAGGAAGTCGAAGTGGACCAGGTCATCGATGCCCAGCTTCTTCAATGTCAGCACCTCATTCACTGAAAGTCACAAGAAGGCCCGGACTCTCTTCACAACATCCACGACAAATCGCCACAATTACAAGAATAACTTCCTTGAATCGGGAGTTTGAAAAATCACCTTTCAGCTAGTTTGTCTCAGGCCGCTGCTACCACTCCCAAATTGGACCGCAGGATCTCGGGATAGGTCTGCTCAGCGAGCTCCGTGGTGAAAGCCTTCCCGGGTGCAACCCATGCCGGCTCAAGCCATCACATAGCTGCGTGAGTGTGCGCGTCTCTCAAAACTCCTGGCATCAGGGTCTGTTTGCACGTCTCCACAATTCGGAATCATGACGTTACTGAGGCAGGTCCCAATTTTGACACGTTCCGCTGTGCATGCCCGACAGCCGCCAGTAAAGTCTGCAAACATAACACCAGCCTTCTCGGTGTACAATCCTCGGCGCGGCCGTGCAGCATAAGACAAACAGACTGGTGCTGAGTAATGACCCATGCAAGCAACAACATTCAAGCAAAGTTAAGTCGGGAGAGGATAGCTACTAAAGCCGAGCAGGCTGCCGCATTCCAGTTCAATACGAATACGAACGCAAAAAAGCCTGAACTGGGGTGCTAATCAAAACCAAAAAAAAAGCTGCAAATCATGCTGACATCAGAAGCAACGACCCATGGGCTCGAATTTACGGGCCCAATCACACTATGCAGACGCTGGGGCCTCAGTTACCTCAACACGGTTACTCCCGCTCTGAGCCCGAGGCCCCCAGCTTTGCTGCAAGCTCTTTTCCTGAACCCCTAGAGTTCCCTGAACCCAACACCCTACAGCGAAGGCTGACAAGCTGAGATGGCTTTGCCCTCTCTCAGGGCTTTCGGGGATAGGGGAATACTGATGTCGCCACGTTTTTATCACCCTTCAGCCCAGCTTTCATGTGCAGGCCAGGCTCGGAAGCACTTCCCCGGGCGTGTGCGTCCGGCGCGCCCTGCACGCTGCGCCGCAGAGGCCTGGAATTTCGGGAAGTCTGCATTCCGGCCTGCAAATCTGTACGAATCCCCTCCAGGGGCTGCACTAGGGTCACTGCACTGATTAATAATGCCAACCAGGACTTAAGTTTGACTATCCACAGCACCAATCCAACTGGGCAAAGCAAAACTATCCAGACTGCATTCAATTCGTGTGCCTTTTGGTCATCATTGGACTTAAGATGGAATAGTCGCGCATTGCTGACAATGTCAGAGTGAGCAGCCAAGCATTCAAGAACGACCCAGCCTTCGACACTGGAGAAACCAGCAGTGACTCAACACGGATTCGTGGGTTGTACACCTCTCCAAGTACCGTGACTGACAGGCTTGGCGGTAGCAAATAAGCCCACCCGTTAACATGCATTGAATCTTCCAAGTGCAGGCTTCAACATGAGGACAGTGACAAGTTCCTGCCTTCTGTTTTGCAAAGCCCGGGTCCACGACATACACGATGCCGTCAATGGTAATGGATGTCTCAGCGATGTTGGTGGCAACGACCACCTTCCTGCAGGAAGATGAAAGCAAATCTTGGACAACAACAACAACTTCACTCAGTAGACAATGCGGCTGACAAAAAAATCTCAAAAATGAAGGTCCCATCATGGCCCCAAGGCAAAACAATCCATGACCCCAACAGGGGTCCTGAGTCTTGGAAACTCACCTTTGGCATGCCAAAGGTCACAACAGCTGGCAGGCAAGTAGCAAGCCAGGCAGGAAGCTTCAAGGATGTGACATAACATTCAGGCTGTTCCATGCTCTCTTTGCCGAAAGGACTTTCGATGTTTTGGAAAATGCAACTGAACATTAAGCACCTGAACTCCCAAATACCCCAACCCTGCTCTCAAACCCCCAAACCTAAACTTCCTGCACCTCCTAAACCTTCTAAACCGCCTGAATCCTAAACCCTAAGTTACCAAACCCCAAAACCTTTTGTCCAGCCCTGCCCTGGCACCTCCCCGCTGGCCCCCCCGGGAAGCGTGGCCCAGGTGGCGGCTCGAAGATCCGCTGCTGCTGCAGAGGCGGCAGGGAAGAGTACAGAGGCACTGCCACCTGGCTTTAAAATGTTTAGGGTTTAGGGCTTAGGGGATTTTATGAGTCTATGTTGTATAGGGATTAAATAGGTGTTATGTAGTTGTTACATTGGGGGTATACAGGGATTACATAGGGGGTATGCAGGGATTATACGGGATTATATAATTAAGGGTTAACTAGGGAATAATGGAAAAAAATGGAAACTACAATTGTTTAGGGTTGGGTTATGTGGAGGTTGGATTTTTGGGGTTCTGGGGTCAAAGGGTTCTGTGAGCAGCTAGGTACAGAAATGCGGGTGCTCAGTAGAAACACCGCGTGAAGTAGAGCTGACTTCCTTCCCTATGCAACCCCTATATCATGCCTAGATAACCCCTATATCCATATGTGTATATATATAAATAAATATATATATATATACATATATACTCCCTGGATATCCCCCGTATACTGCAGACGCATGCTTCGGGCTGCACGTGTCAGAGGCAATAATGCTGGCTCCAGGGTCTGCGGTACCGACGTGAGCCGTGACCAGGACCCATACCAACCTTGGGAAAACCTGACAGGTGTCAGAAGAAACCTTCGGGAAACCTAATAACTTGGAGCTCTGCAGTCAAATAACGTATGATAAAAAAAGGCGGTTATCTCCCAACACTGGAGAGAAAGAACCGTAACTGCTGATGCACAAAAAGTCTTCACCAACACTTGAAACCAACCTTAAACCTGTGAGCCCTTAACCCCAAGCCCACAGCTTTCTTCGGGCCCGGCCAGCTCGCCGTTCTCCGGGAATCGAGAGCTTTCCTTTCGGAGCTGGCCTCAACACATGGACCCGATTGGGGTCTTACAAATGTTTCCCGTTTGCCAGGGTCGAGGGTTAACACTTCAGGGATTGCAACTTGGGAGTCATGATTTAGTCTGGAGGGTGCCGGGCTTGTGGAATCTGACTAGCAAAGATCCTCCACAAAAGCTGTATGCGTCAGAGCTTGAATTTCCACAAGAAGTGCTCATGTTCACTACTCCCAAAGTCACTGCATGCTGTACAAGCAGGGGTGCTACTGTAACACCCAAAACACACTCAGATGACGCGAAATCACTTTCGGGCCAAGGACTTTGGGATGGGCTACTTCCTCCTCCTGCTGTAAGACTTGTGCCACTCCACTCTAGTTTCAAGGTCACTCCATTCGGGCGCAATAGCTTGAGTTTAGGACAGACTGTAGCCAGCTGGTTGCAAGCCTACCAAATTGTCTATAAGCACACCCACACCTACGGTAACAGGCCGTGCCATAGCCATGCCTGGATTGCCATATTACGAAGGACCAGCTCAATGCGCAACGCCAACTACGAACAAACATGAGATACTATGAGCGCTTCCTATCTATACGAAGAAATACCAAGAACCATGCAAACAACCCTGAATGATGCTTCTGATCATCAGCATCGCCACCAGCATCAGTAGTACGAACACTTATATAAACTCAGCACAAACAAGAGGAAAACTTGTACATTTGCCAGCCAGAGGACGACATGCTTGCTCAATCTCCTCCTCACCGGTGAGAAAGAGCAGGATGTCCTTAGATCAGATGGAGATTTCGCAAAACGGAAATGTCCTTTTGTAGAGATCACAGGCAATCTCTCTAGCACATTTCATCTACAGTGCTGGTAGAGATCCTCAGACAACATCTCAAAATCCTAGTTACCATGGAAGATAAGGTAGGATTTATGGGGTGTTTAAACACGGTTTAGGGCTGCAGGGTGCTTGGAACTCGAGCAGGGACCGCTGGACACTTGATAACATCTACCGGCCCCTGTTGCTTGGTTCAGGTTTTCGCAAGATTTCCTTGTTCTGGCATACCGGCATACCACCGAAAATGTTTCTACCTGGGGCGGTCTATGATGCAACAGCGCACGCAAGCTCTTGTACAAGAGTGCAGGGATCCCATTGCACGTCACATCCTTCTATGATCCAAGCAAAAATGCCATTATTGGTAAAACTTCCTCCGTTTTGGGGTTATTAATATGGATAATGGAAAAGAAAATGGAGACTACTATAGTATATTGGGGTAATATAGGGGTTATATTTAGGGATAATGGAAAAGAAAATGGAAGCTACTATAAAGGGTTATATAGGGTTTAGGGTTATCAGAGACCATTCTGGGGATCCTTGTATTTCAAAACAGTGGCCTCCATCCCTTGGAATGCTGAAGCAAGGGCCAAGGGTCTCCTTCGGGCTCCGAGTTGTGGATCCTTGTGCAGGCACTTTTAGGTTGAGGTTTCCGGGTTTAGGGTTTAGGGTTTAGGGTTTATGGCTTAGGGCTTAGGGTTTAGGGTTTAGGTACTTGATAATGGACAAATCATGGTCTACTTGGGGTTATGCAGGAACATTTCCCATCAAAAGCAGGAACAGATTTTGCTTAGAGACGGGCCCGTGGAAACTGCAAAGAATTTCCGGCTCAAACGATCACCTTCCAGAATCCTGCAATATGTCCATCACGAAACATTAACCACACCACAGATCGCTTTCTTTGAAATGTCGACTCCCAAAACCCTGATCCTTCAAGAACTTATCAAGATTCTGATGTCCGGCCGTGCACATCTGCAGCCGCAAATGTGAGTTGAGATGGGGCTCCGTCTTTGTGGCTGGTTTTTTTCAATTCGAAAAATCTGACAAAACTTCTCGCCTTCCTGAAAAAAGTCAACAACCTTCAGGACAAGGACAGGCTGCCCAGTCTAGCTTTTGGTCTCGGTGGGGTGGGGGTGTCATGGTGTGTTGAATCTTTTGGGGGTCGCCGTGTGGCCTCAGGTTCATGCCCTCTCTCTCTCTTGGCTAGAGGTCAGAAACCTGCCGATAGAAATCAGCATCACTTAGGCGAGATCCAAAACGGGAAAAGAAGGGAGAAGTCAGATGGAACGAAGCATAGTCGAAAAATTGCATGGACAGTAGCTGCGTGAGTTTCACTGTTGCATTGGATTGATGTTTTCGACTGCTAACATTCAGCCTTTCCTACATGATATGCTGCTATTCCAGCTTCCACTTCATGGGATATGTTCTCCTTCTTCAGATGAAGCGGCACACCCAACCATCCATGATGTGGATGACAAGTAAGTAGGAAGCTGCTCAAAAGATACACCAAATGTCAGTATGCAGGGCAAGTTCACGAGTACACGATAAGTGCATATACCCATCTTGCAACCATGCCCAGCTCCTGTTACCTCTTTCCGCCGATCTAGTTGCAAGCCAGTCTCTGCACCACGGTTCGCATGGCAGCTTCCAGGTAATCCTCCGATTGCATGCATGACGGCAGACATAAGCTTTGAGACACCACTGATTTATTCAACTGTAAGACTAAAGACTTCCCTGAGTTTGCGGCTCGCTCAGGCTCAGAAGTGTAGAAGATCTCCACAGGGTGCGTGCGTCCAGGGATGTTCAGCAAGGGCGCATTGTCCTACCACCACACAACGCTGCAAGCTGATCGTGAGGTTCATGACATGCCTGCTGACTGCAGTGCAACAACCAGACTTCTTCAAGATTGGGGCTGAGGCGAAATAACCCTGCATCTTCTGAGCATCCATGGTTGCAGACCTGGGATGCACTTGAGTTGAGACTCTCCAAACAACATCCAATGGGCTCAATGCTGCACTTAAAGAAGTTGAGCAGTGGTGCAGTCCATCAAAGGAAAGGGAAAGACTACAAAAATCAGCAGGATGTTGCTCAACTTCAGTGATTGCATTTCCTACACGCAATGCACATCAGACCTTGCTGCCAAGGCCATGCGTTCCGGAAAAATGGCTTCAATGGGACGGTTCTTGCCTACCTTTCCTAAGAAATTATCAGAGCAATATCAAAGAAAAGGGAGATCCTCCAGCACTAGCCTGTATTTGTACACTCCTGGCTAGGCCAAGTGCCAGCTCTGACTGTAACACCATTCTCATCAACATCCAAATCTTCAACTACGGGCTGTATGCACCCATGATGGCTGCCAGTTCTTTTCTACGCAGCTTGAAGATAAGGATCTCGATTATGTAGCCTCTACTAGGCGATGCCAAAAAAAAACGTGTTGAATCCATCCATTCTTTGGAGGGACTCATTTCACTGGGACTCGCTGGAGCGTAGATGAACGTAGTGGATTTTAATGATAATGGGAACCATTGGGGGTGGGCTGCAATGCTGCAAGCCATGTGCAACGAAACAGTAGCGGCGACAACTGCTTCAGGCAAAGGACATAACCACCAGCTTGAGATCTGGTCGGCGTCTCATCACCTCCTTAATAAGGCCGAAGAGGACCTCACATGCAAACAAGAAGCAGCCAGGGGTTGGCAGTATATTGGGGTTATATAGGGATAATGGAAAATAAAATGGAAACTACAGGAATTCTAGGATTATATAGGGATTATGTAGGGCTTATACAGGGATTATAAAAAAGCCAGTTGCAAATGCTGCGCATCCTGTCGAGCGTCATCTGTTGCCAGAGTTCTCTCGTGGGCTTCATCCAGGATGATGACACTATACTTTGTCAGCAGTGGATCCGTCATGGCTTCTCGCCTTGGTGACGTTCCAAAACTGATCCCAGTGGTTGGCATTCGGAGACTGCTGACGACTCACGCCCCACATGAGCACCTCTGAAATAGGTGTCCCCCCTCGAACCACCTCATCCTTATCTTAAGGACTCTGGAATAAGGCCTCCAATTTTTCGAAAGCCCCGAATGAAAATCGATGGGCAAGGCACAGGAGCATACCATCCTTGGGCACACATGAAATTCACATGTGCGTGAAAATGCTAGACTCTTGTGAAAGAATCGAACTGCCGATACCTTTCTTCAGGAAGGCTGCTGTCAGAAACTTGAGGATCGTTTCTGGAGATGTCTTGTCCTGCAGGCAAGCGGAAGCTCACGGGACATCCATAAGCAGCCAACGCAACTTTCAAGGTGCGTTGCCTTGGGCTCGCGCAGCCCCCTGCGGACTGCAGCGGTTGCACCAAAGAACTTCTCTCTAAAAGCTGTGTAGCCTAAAACATCCTGTAAAAAAGAAAGTCCTCGAAGCGGATCAGGTAGCCAACGTGTGCGCCAAGGAACGTGTCGAGCTCATCTGCCACTCTCTGAGCTACCTCAGCCACGCAGCTGAGAGATGATGTGCATCGCATGATGACGGCGCTAGCAAAAAATGAACGCATAACACCAATCCGAGGTTGATACACTCATCGCCGCCACTCTGCGAGGCTGCGTGCAAGCGATACCTCGGTTGCACAATCTGGGATCCTGGCACCTAATATGAGAAGGGCCCCCCCACCCGGCATTGAATATCTATTATGAGTGGCGAAGGGTAAGTTCAACGACGAGGGTGTAGGGCGTGCAGGGTGTCTTGCCAGCTCTGGTACTTTTACGACTTCCACAGCTGCAGTGTCTTTCACAATTTGGGCTGCATGGCTCCCAGGCACATGAGAATTTCTGACCCAGCCCTGTAGACAAGAACCCTCATATGACTGCTTCAGTCCTTCTTCAGGTGGTTCAGGATACCGGTTAACCCTGAAACCTAAACCTCATTGCCTGAAGCACTTTGGAGGATGGGCTTGGTGCAGTCCGCGTGGCCTTTAGCCTTCTCGCCGGCCATGTGGTAGCCTGCCTCACTGCAAACTTTGAGGATCATGAGTTACAAAGTGTACGTAACAGTTACCTCTTTCTACTGCACTGTTTCTGTCTTTAGTCATGCTCTTCGGTCTCCAGCAGCATGCATTGCAAGCAGGGCTGAAATCGGTAATGCAAGTTGTCAGACTCTTCGGCCACCACAGGAACAGGCAGCAAAAGTCAGCCTTAAACATGGTTATTCACGAATCTCACATTTACTAAGCAGCACACTTTATTAGAAGAGTCCTACCATCCATGTCAATGTCTCAGGAGTAATCGGAACAGTGTGACAAAGCACAATTCATACAGCAAAGGCCTCGAGCAGGAACTGTGGCAGTTGAGTTGTCTTGCCAGAGCCTGGGGGTTTCGCAAAAAGGTGAAGGCAGGGCCAGAGACATTGCAGACTATTTGAGGTACCCTGCACTACAATAACACAAGGAATTTGGGACCAGAATATTGTTAACTGCCCCCGCTCCTGTCAGTCGAGCAGAAGACCTTATGTAGACGAACATCAACAATCTCCTTGCAATCTCCTTTTGTGTTTCTCACACCTCCAGAAATGTCCTCACTTTGAAGCGCGCAGCCTGTCTCCCCGACCAGAACGACGGTCTGGTTGCGCTTGATAAGCTTCAGGAACTCTTTCCTTGGTCACGCTGCGGCAAGAGTAGGGGCCAAGCCTTTAAAGAATCGGTCGCTCACCCACACGGTAGGCAAGGCATTTGCAAGGAAAAGGGACTGCAAGTTTAGTCTGTGCTCTTCACATATATCCCACTGCCCCGCCTGGCTTCCCATGCGGGCAGCTTCTGGCGCTTGTCCAAGATCTCATAGTATCCTGAAGGTTTGGGAGTGCTCAAAATCATTCACAACTCATCCATATATAATCTGCAGTGCTCATTGAACATCGGATTGGTCTTAAATTTGCTCACAAGGTCTCGTCTGGAATGCAGGAAAACAGCTTACTTACCACGTCAAGCTCTGCTGAAGAACATGCGTACAGTGCAGCAACAGATGCACTCCAAGCTGTAGGACCATCACCACGGGGACTCCCCAACAAAAAACTCATAATCTCAGAAACATCCCAGGGTTTGTAGAACCCCCAAGGGTATGTAGCACACTCCGCAAGAAAGCTGTCCATGTGGAGCTTGAAAGTCATGTGCTAGCCAGATCCCTCAGCCAAAGCATGATCTACCCTCTTGATAAAAGAAAGCAAAGGGGTACAGAAACCCAAAAAGTGAGAAACGAATGCTTATCGATGACCAGCATTGCCAATAGCATTGTTGAGTGGGCTACAGTCTTCCTTGCAAAGCGTACCTCCCCAACCACTAAACCAAGCCGCTGTCAGAGTACGCTCTCTCAGTGAGAGGATTTATCTTGGGCTCGCCCGAATCGCCCTCCGTCCTTGCCTGCAACTCTTGAGACCAGCTGGGAACTGCAGGAAGCCAAATGTTAGGATGAAGTCATGACAGAACTTGATCAGCTTCTTTTGATTTGTGTAAGGCTTGCAGCACACCTCTTCCCCTTCAGGTGCTTGAAGAGCCGGGCAAACTGAAGAAAATCAAGAAACTACGCACCACTCCTTGCCTTCTTGGCATCAGACGTCTCGTATACCACTGCGGGTCTCTTCACTGTGCCAGCAGCTTCTTCGCCGGCTGCCATGGCGTGATCCGGGCCTAGCCCTGTTTAATTTACGCTAAAGATGTTGCTCCCCGTATTTTGTGCCTAGTCAATATTGCCTCCCGCTGACATGCACGCATTTATACAGCTGAACGACTTCGGAGTATTATTGGGGTGGACAATGGACATTTCCAATGCAGCTTCTACAAGAATACCTCGGTAACCCATTGTGCCAGAAATGTGTGCCAAAGCTGCAGCAGTGAGGACATGACTGCAATGGGTCGATCAGGCAGCATCACAGCAAGACAAGCATTCTGCCTCAGGGCAAGCTTCGCCAATTGAGACTCACAACTCGTTTTTGCATTAGGAAAAATAGCCCGACATACTAAAGTAGCTTCCATTTCCTTGTCCACTATCCCTAAACACCCAATCAAAATATATATGTATATGTATATAATATATATATATATATTCTCCTAATTTCCGGAAACCAACCCTGAATCCTATATATCCTCAGAAAAGCCCTACATAGAACCCTATATCCCACATAACCCCTTTAAAGGTACTCCTAAATTCATATGTATATATATATATACATACCCGAAACCCTAGACCCCAAACCCTAGATCCCATACCGTAAACCCTAAACCCCAAACCCCAAACCCTAAACCCTCAACCCTAATTTTTAGAATATACACCCCCAGCAAGCAAAGATCTCTCAGCTCGCGGCTCGCTCCTGAGCTTCCGGCCGGCGCCTGAAGGGACCAGAAGTGAGATTTCCATGCTCCCCTCTCTTGGGGCGATATATAGGGATATATAGGAATTTATAGGGATTTATAAGGATATATAGGGTTTAGGATTGGTTTCCTGAAATTAGGAGTATATATATACATAGAAATAGGGCCTATACGGGATAATGCAAAAGAAAATGGAAGCTACATTAGCATCAGAGAGGGCACATTAATCATTAACGCCGCAAAATGGTCGCACATTAAGCACGCGTAAAGTTCAGGCTGGGAAGAGGAAACAAAAATGCCCAGCCTGCTGTGGGGACAAAATCATCCGCTTTTGGGTGGTTTCTAGGCGCAAGAACCTGAAACGCGGTTGGAGAGCCAAATCATCCGCTTCTTGGTGGTTTCCAGGTGCAAAAACACCGAAAAGCGGATGATTTGCCCGTCGGAGGGCCACATCATCCGCTTTTTGCTGGTTTCCAGGTGCAAAAACGTTTGCTTTTCGGGGTTCTTGCACCTGGAAACCACCAAAAAGCAGATGATTTGCCTCTCTGCGGGCAAAGCATCCGTTTTTTGTGGTTTTTGCACCTGGAAGCCACCAAAGCGGATGATTTTGGCTTTCCGACACGCAAATCATCCCCTTTTCGGGATTTTTGCACCGCGAAACCACCGATGGTCGAACCATCTGCTTTTCCGGGCTTTAGCACCAGGAAACCACCAAAAGGCGGACGTTTTGGCCCTCTGACGGGCAAAAAAAATCATCCGCTTTTCGGGGTTCATGCACAGCTGTCCGACATACGGAACTGTCTGTGTTATCTATGTTATGCGCTTATAGTACCCCCCTTACCCGGTGTTACTGCTGCTTTTCCGGTGTTATCAAGAACGCTTTTCGTATATTGGCGCTAAATAGGGAGGTTCCGCCTCCGCTTGCTGATGTTGATAGCAGAAAATGGATTTCTCCCAAATCGGGGATCGTACATGCCCCTGTACTTGATGTCCCCCCAAACCAGAGAAAATGTTACTGTATTGGTTGTCCCTCCCTACCTGGAACAGCAACTTTAGAAAACTCCTGCATGGGGATTTAAAGTATCTAAGTCTTGACCGCAGGCAAGCTCCTTTGACTGCACTCTTGGCGAACCGCATGCTTGAGACTTGCCATTCGCGCACGGCCGACGGGCCTCACCACTGTGGCAGTCTTCTGCTGAGCCTGACATGGGAGGTCTTCAAATTCATCTTGTGTATAAATAACTTGCTCCACAGAATGCAGGGTGAATACTCTAACGAACATTCTCGCCAAGCAGTTCATGTCTGCGTAATACCTAAATGCTCAGCATCCCAGGGAACCCATGTGCACAGTATGACCCACATGTCAAGCCGCGCTTGCTGTCCTCAACCCCAATTCCTAGACTTGCCCGAGGCGGAAATACTGGCCTCGCGAAGGGAGATGAGCTCTTGGCGAAGGCCCTGCAGAAGCTGTGGTCGTGTACTGTAGTTTCAAGGCTTGCTACACGCAAGTCACATAAGGCGCAACCAGTGGAAAAGGGCGAAGGACTTGGAGAAAAAAAATGGGAAATCTTCTAGCTATGATAATGTCTGTACACTTGCAAGTGGCAAAAGCCGTGTACAGAAACAGACAGCCCAGAGCTGATATGACCAGGAAGGGGATAATGCAAACATCAATGAGCTCTCTCAATCAGTTTGTAGATGTTGCACCTCTCCACATCTACTTTGAACATGTCAAGGTATGTGCAGAGAGGGTTTAGGTGACAGGGGTGTTTACATGGAATAGGACTGCTGGCGAACAGACACCACGTTATGCACCCTGCGGGCACTTTTAGCAAAAGAAAAAGTCGTAGTAGCACTAGTGGTTATCGTATTGGTAGCGGCCATCGTTGTAGCAACCCGTGGAAGTAGGTAAGGGCAGTACTAGTACTATGACTAGTATTAGTATTAGTAGTAGTAGTAGTAGTAGTGGTAGTAGTAACAGTAGCAGAAGTAGTAGTAATAGTCGTCGTCGTCGTCGTCGTCGTCGTGGTCGTGGTCGTGGTCGTGGTCGTGGTCGTGGTCGTGGTCGTGGTCGTGGTCGTGGTCGTGGTCGTGGACGTGGTC